AGGGCTACAAGCTATAGAACACACAGACACACACACACATACAGACACACACACTCACAATCTCCAAAAGATTCCCAGAAGAGAAATGGCAGACACAGTTCTATGAGCAGGAGGGAACAGCAGATGATGCACACTGGAAATGTACCAAGTATGCTGTATGTAGTGAATAATTCATTTTACTTGGAGTAAAAAGGGTGGGAGGAAGAGGTGTAAACCTCTAGTCTGGAGAGAGAGGCTTATTACCTGGGGCTTCTTAGACCAGGGATTGGCAAACAGCTGCCTGCTTGTTTCTAGACAGCTCAAGAGCTAAGGATAGTTTTATGTTTTTAAACAATTGGAAAAAAGAATCCAAAGAAAAAGAATGTTGCGTGAAACATGAAAGTTACATAGAATTCAGATTTTAGTGCCTGTCAATGAAGTGCTATTGGCACACAGCCAAGCTGGTTCATTTTCATGTGGCAGAGAACCATAGTGCCTGCAAAGTCTAATTATTTACTGTCTGGTCTTTACAGGAAAAGGTTGCTGACCACTGTCTTAGTTATTATGCTTGCTTTTTCATCCCAAAGTTCATCATCTTCTGATGGCAATAAATTTACACAACGCTATTTCATTATTTAGGAGGGACTATGGCCAACAAGCAGCTTTCCTTTTAGTGTCTCCGACACAGATGACACTCGACAGATAAAGCAGCTTCTCTATGGCATTGCTAACTTGGGTCTAAGTGATGGAATTTTGAGTTCATATTCTTAGGAATCCTTCATAATTTCTTGCTCTTTTGGGCTGTGGCGTGAACAGTGTTTTGGTCAAATTTCCAAATATATCTAGTCTCCAGTGGTATGTAGTTTCAAGTATTGAATAGACTGTGTTTAAACAGTACCTTTATCTCCTTCCCTTCCCTTCTTCTTTCCCTGGTCATTATTTTAATTTTCATTCCCCAAGTATAGCTTTGCTCATGAAGTTTAATCAGTTCAATTGCTCAATCGTGTCTGATTCTTTGTGACCCTATGGACTGCAGCACACCAGGCTTCCGCTTCCCTGACCATCACCAACTCCTGGAGTTTACTCAAACTCATGTCCTTTGAGTCGGTGATGCCATCCAACCATCTCATCCTCTGTCATCCCCTTCTCCTCCTGCCTTCAATCTTTCCCAGCATCAGGGTCTTTTCAGATGACTCAGTTCTTCGCATCAGGTGGCCACGGTATTGGAGTTTCAGCTTCAGCATCAGTCCTTCCAAAGAATATTCAGGACTGATTTCCTTTAGGATTGACTGGTTTGATCTTGCAGTCCAAAGAATATTCAGGACTGATATCCTTTAGGATTGACTGGTTTGATCTTGCAGTCCAAGAGTCTTCTCCAGCACCACAGTTCAGAAGCATCAATTCTTTGGCGCTCAGCTTTCTTTATAGTCCAACTCTCACATCCATACGTGACTGCTGGAGAAACCATATCTTTGACTAGAGGGACCTTTGTTGGTGACGTCTTATAGTTATGGGATATATTGCTTATGTAGAAATCAATCAGAAGGAGAAAGCAGGAATTAACATTTTACTGCAAAAGTCATTTCTTCAATTTGCCATCTATCACACCACACCCCTCTTTGAAAACTGGCTTATTGTGATTTGCTCTGAAAATCATTCTGCGTGGCAATTCCTTCTGTCTGGAATCTTGATTCATGGGCCCTCATAAGAATTCTTTTATGGTTCTATTTTCATAATAGCTTTTAGGCAGCCAATCTTCATGCATGATCCTGTGTTTCTTTATGACTTGGCAGCATCCAGATGTCTTTACTGCATCTTGTTGCCTTTTAGACACATTAAAAAAAATTTGCCATAAAATAATTGCATTCATTTGTGCAGGAAATGTTAAATTATTCTTTCATGAGTCAGTCAAACTTTTACTTGAATACAGAAAGACTTGCTGTCCCTTTTGGTAAACCTGCATGAATATCTTAAAAGTTGTGGTTTTGAAATGATTGAAAAGGAGATGGTAAACAGGGTTTTTTCTTTTTTTTTTTTTTTAAACCTCATCTTATCTTACATAGTCACAGAATATATAAAAATAAGATTTTTCTCATAACTTACCAGTTTTGTAAATAATATAAGAACAAATTGAATAGGTTCATATCCAAGCTATGTGTATGTTGAGAGTGTCTTAAGTAAACGTATTTGGGTAAATAAGAATGCTTTGTTTTATTTTTAGCAGAACCCAAATTAAGTATTGGATTGCATGTATGGGCCCAAGAAAATTTTAATGAGGAAGTCAAGTTTCTCGGGTTTCCGTCATAGCTCAGTCAGTAAAGAATATGCCTGCAATGCAGGAGACCTGGGTTCTATTCCTGGGTTGGGAAGCTCCCTTGGAGAAGGAAATGCAACCCACTCCAGTATTCTTGCCTGGAAAATCCCATGGACAGAGGAGCCTGGTGGGCTACAGTCCATGGGGTTGCAGACTCGGACATGACTTAACGACTAAACCACCACCAAACCATCAAGTTTCTTAGAAGAGTATTTGCATCACAATGACCTGAAGAACCTTTTAAAAATACAAATGTCTGTGACTCACCCTGGATCTGCTGAATCAAAATATTCTTGGAAGGGGCTAGGAAGGTATTAGAAAGTTCCCCAAGTGGTTCTGATTCTCACTTTTGGCTGACAACCATTGGGCCAGAAATATTTTTGGAGAGTAGACCAAAAAAAGGTAGCCTCAAAAAATGGTTTTGGTGCTCGGGCTTAGTTGCTCTGTGGCACGTGGGATCTTCCCAGATCAGAGATCAGACGTGTGCCTCCAGCATGGGCAGGCAGATTCTTCACCACTGAGCCACGAGGGAGGTTCCATGCATTTTCATATGAAACCTCAGAGAAGAATTAACATTTGGTTTTCCCATAGTAATTATATCTAGTGTTTCTGGTCAAGAAAAACAATATACGTTTCTTCCCCCGTCTCTCACTTCAACCTTCTGGATTCTCTGGAGCAAAGATTCAGTTCATTTTCAAGGTTCCTGAGGTCTGAATATCTGGATTCTATCCTTTTCTAATTCATTAAGAATTTATCGATGCTTTTCAATGTATCAAATTCTGAATAGGCACTGAGTATGCTAGTACTGAAGAAAACAGTCTAGAATTTAAAATCTACTAGACGAGACCGATGTTAAGCAGATAAACAATTCAGTAAATGCTCTCTGGCCCGGATATTATAAACCTATTTTTTTGTATTGGTTTTTAAGGTATATATATGTTAATATATTTTATGTAAGTGGTATATAAATTTTTATGTCTCATATAGCATATACACATATACATAGAGTGTGTTATTAAGTGTTGTATACATTTTATATTTATATATTGCCATCATTTTTATTAGCCTCACATCCTTCTGGAATGAATTGGAATGTATACATACCTATATGTGTGTGCACACATATGCCCATACACATGATGATGAGTTTAGACTACAGTTCTACAGCAATACATTTAGCTAATTTTTCTCACTGATTTTTTTAAATTAAATAACATGTAAAATGACAAATATATTGTTTTCTTTAAGGTTTGTGCTTTTTTTCACTTGGAGTATAGTTGCTTTACCATACATTATTTTTTATATGTGCTGTGACTTCTGTTGTTTTCTTTCTAAATTTTTTGCTTTTATAGCATTAAATGTAACAGTTATTCTGGGACAGTGTTTCAGTGGCAAGATAGATTGAAAGTCCCAACAAGCTGGAACTCTCTATACCTCTTGAAGAAAGAGAAGCGTGCTGTTGTCACAAATAGCTTCCACGTGTCAGGCCTGTGACCCTTTTTTTTCACAGATGGTGCTTCACAAGTACATTTCACTGCCCTTAAAACATTTTTAAAGCTACCATATGGTTTGACTCGGGTCACTGTATCTGAGAAAAATGTTAGCATGTTAATCCTGTTCAAACATGATAGAAGAGAGATTATAACTGTCAACCATTTAATATAAACAGACACTGTGTGTACTGATGGTGGAATATTGAAGGAGGAAACAATGGTGCTCCTTCAAGAAGAATCAGCTATGTACACACTTGTGTATTTAAAATGGATCACCGATAGGTTCGCACTGCATAGCACGTGGAGCTGTGCTCAGCACTACCGTGCAGCCTGGATGGGAGAGGGGTTTAGGGGAGAATGGATCCATGCACACGTATGGCTGAGTCCTTTCACCTGAAACTATCACACCATTGTTAATCACTGTACCCCAGTACAAAATAAAAAGTTAAAAAAAGGAGAATCAGCTATGTTTTCTGGCTATATAATTACAGTATGCCACCTCTTGTGATGCAGGTGCATTTGGTACACTTGAAAGTTTAGGATGGTAAGTGTGTGTGCTAAGTCACTTCAGTGTTGTCTGACTCTTTGTGACCCTGCGGGCCGCACAGGCTCCTCTGTCCGTGGGATTCTCCAGGCAAGAGTACTGGAGTGGGTTGCCATACCCTCCTCCAGGGCATCTTCCTGACCCAGGGACTGAACCCACATCTCTTAAATCTTCTTCATTGAAGGTGGGTTCTTTACCACTAGTGCCACCTGGGAAGTCTTAGGATTGTAAAGGAGTCCCCTAAATCAATGAAAATGACGTTGTATATGAGAAATTCAACTGAAAGTTATCTTCTTCCCCCTTTTCAAAATGCATTCCTGGGTATTGCAGTGAAATTACATGGTTGATGAAGACTACCTTGAGGTCCCTGATGGAAAAGATTTTTATATCATATCAGTTGTTGTTCCAGTAGTATTCTAAAGACCTGCATTTACTCATGCAATGTACTACACAGAGTGGATTAAGGTAGCTCAAAAGCACTTACCATTGTCTGTGAGCCAGAAAGCCACAAGGATTCTGATTGACATTATTATTTATTGTTTTTGAATGCTGATGGTACATTTTCCTGGTAGAGTTCTGCACTGTGCTTATTGACATGCCTACGTGAAAAGGCTCTGCTTTTCTGAGTATTTAATGGGCAATTTAATTTTCTTAACAACTTTCTTTACAGGACTTGGATTTTGAAGCCAAAACAAGCTACACACTACGGATAGAAGCTGCAAACAAAGATGCCGACCCCCGCTTTCTGAGCTTGGGACCCTTCAGCGACACGACAACCGTGAAGATAATCGTGGAAGACGTGGATGAGCCGCCTGTGTTTTCCGCACCCCTGTACCCCATGGAGGTGTCGGAAGCCACCCAAGTTGGGAATATTATTGGCACTGTAGCAGCTCACGACCCAGATTCTTCCAACAGCCCAGTGAGGTAAGAGCTCCTTGCTTTCCTTTTCAATAATTCTGGAACAGTGCGCCCTTGTTCAAAACCCATGTCTCTACATCATGATGCTTTGGGATCGTGAGTGCTCAGCCGCTTCTATTGTGTCTGGTTCACTCTTTGTGATCCTATGGACTGTAGCCAGCCAGGCTCCTCTGTCCATGGGATTCTCCAGGCAAGAATAGTGAAGCGGGTTGCCAGGCCCCCCTTCAGGGGATCTTCCCAGCCCGGGCATTGAAGCCACATTCCCTGTGGCTCCTGCATTGGAGGCAGATTCTTTACCACTGAGCCGCTGGGGAAGCTTTGGGGTTATAGCAGTTAGAAATCAGTTATATATATGTATTGAGCCATCACGGCAGAAGTGAAACAGGATCAGAACCCCTCAACATTTTACTAATTCTAAAGTATATCACCTGATTATCCAAGGCCATTATTGTGTGGCAATGTTGTATCTTTTTTTTTTTTTTAATATTTATTTGTTTGTTTGCCTCTGGTGGGCCTTAGTCGCAGTGTGTGGGATCTTCAGTTGCAGTGTGCAGGATCTTTTAGTTGCAGCATGTGGGATCTAGTTCCCTGACCAGGGCTTGAACTTGAGCCTCCTGTGGTGGGAACATGGAGTCTTAGCCACTGGACCACTAGGGAAGTCCTGCAATACTGTATCTTTAGGCACCATTATCATCCACAAGCAGAGCTGATATTACTGTTCAGCCTATTATCCAGAGCGCTTTTTCAACACAAACTGTGTTCAAAGAGAAAGTGATGTGTGTCCTCATTGTAGGATAAATGTTTATGTTAGAAAACTAATTTTATAAGCAATTTAAATTGGGGATTGATTTCTCAACAGATCCTTTTTTATATTGGTCTGTATGGATAGTATGTGTTTGTTAGTCTAATCTGCTTATTAAAATAATACCTTATTTATATACAAGGACTAGTTTAAAATGTTCTTTCAATAGGCCTGTATAGAGAGTAGAAACATTGTTATAACCAACTCTGTAGGACTAACAATAATGATATGTAAGTGTTCCAAAATATCACAGCATGACAGTTCACACTTTTTACCTATAGTCTTATATATAATCTAAGAGCTACATACATATTTTTGTATATGTATGTGTTCACATGTGTACATATGATAAAGTATGTTTTTTCAAGTAAATATTTAATGTCTAAGTATATAGTATATACTAGAAAATTAGATTGTATTTCATGTCTTAATTTGGGTTCATAAGTAACACATTTTTATTTCATGGTTTGAATTTTGATTATAAAATCTATAAAGTGGGCTTCCTTGGTATCTCAGCTGGTAAAGAATCCACCTGCAATGCCAGAGACCCCAGTTCAATTCTTGGGTCGGGAAGATCCCCTGGAGAAGGGGTAGGCTACCCACTCCAGTATTCTTGGGCTTCCCTTGTGGCTCAGCTGGTATAGAATCTGCCTGCAGTGTGGGAGACCTGAGTTCAATCCCTGAGTTGGGAAGATCCCCTGAAGAAGGGAAAGGCTGCTGCTGCTGCTAAGTCGCTTCAGTCGTGTCCGACTCTGTGTGACCCCATAGACAGAAGCCCACCAGGCTCCCCCGTCCCTAGGATTCTCCAGGCAATAACACTGGAGTGGGTTGCTATTTCCTTCTCAAGTGCATAAAAGTGAAAGTGATTTTCCAGGCAAGAGTACTGGAGTGGGCTGCCATTGCCTTCTCCGAGGGAAAGGCTATGCACTCCAATATTCTGGCCTGGAGAACGCCATGGACTGTGTAGTTCATGGGGCCCCAAAGAGTCTGACATAACTGAGTGACTTGTACTTTCACGTTTCACAAAAACTAGTGAAGGTTTTATATTGAGATATGTTCAGCTAACCACTGATTGAACTTCTGCTGTGACTGATATTTAATAATGCTAAGTGCCCTTGAGCTTATGAACTAAGTCTAGACATTGGTTGCAGAGTGTCATGAAAAACATCAACACATTAGACAATGATTTTTAGTTAAGAAGAGCTCATAATCCTGTCTCCCTAAAATAATAGGTATTTAGGCTTATTTATATAATATAAATAAATTATTACACACAATAAATATCAATTTATCATTAATACACAAATATTAATCAGCATATATATATATGTAGAGGTATGTATATGTAATTAAATTAGTGCTCTCTTTTCCTTCCCTTTTGTTTGACATTAATATCAGAGTCTAGTAAAGAATTGTATAAAATAACTTATTTTAAAAGTGAAGTCATAGTCATTACTTCTTTGTCTATATAACAAATTCAGGCTATGTAGTAGCTGTATTATTTTTAACACAGTGATCATAAACCATTTCTAAGAATATAACCTTCTGTACACTAGAATATCTATGAGTTGCAGATGCACTCAGATGGAATAAGCCTTCTCTTCCCTGTAAAAGCCCAGCCTGTATTGTCAGAAAGTTCCCTGACTTAAGTTCAGCTCCATCCACTGAGTCCTATTAATGTGCACAGACGTGAATTTGGGCTTTGTTATAGCATTGCAATACCAGTGACATACTTGTCTTCTTCCGCTATGAACAACCACAGTACAATCGTAGTCATAGATCAGGTGCTCAGGAGAGCCTGACTTCTGCTTAAATCACTTAATGGGGAGAAAGAGAGAAGGCTTTCATGAAATTGAGGATTGGAAAAATAGACACAGTAATATACATGATAATTCAGTACTTCAGCTAGTGAGAGGATTTAAGAAAATTTTGGTTTATTGGTATTTTATAATTTTTTTCTTTATCCATTTCCTTGTGTATCATTCTGTTAGAGCCCTTCAGAGTAAATATTTCACTTTTAATAATATTTTATTTGAAAAAAAATGCAGTATTAAAATTTGAGGAAGGAGAAGGGAGAGTAGGAGCAAGTGGGTAGTGACTTGAGTTGGAAATGAAGTGAGTTCCATGTCTGTTCCCTGGAGCACAGAGAAAGAAAAGGCCAAAGGGTGGACTCTGCTGAATTTGGAGGTAAAGACTTCTGTGTCCTCCATCAGCTGGCCAGCACTGTATTTTTACCTCATTTTTAGTTTCTTAAAACTAATAAAGGTGATCCTGAAATTTCAGGTCAGTGCTTCTTACATCCTTTTCTAATCTCTAAATCTCACAAATAAGCATTTTGTTCAAAGTTGAATTAAATGTTGAATTAAATGTTATTTTGTGTGTGCCTGTGAATATTATCTTTTGCTTTTTGAAAATTAATTTCTTGACCTAGATTTATGGTCATATTCTTGCAACATTGCTTTGCCTTACTCTTTAAAAAAAATAATAATAAGGTCAGCACAATCATTTATAGCTTATTTGTTTCTGGACTTCTCTCTCACATATTTCTCTTTCCCGATCCATTTATGATGGTCATTAAGAGGCCAGTCGCCTCATTGTGTAGTTCAGTGAGTTGAGGGGAACTTCTAGAAATAATATTCTCTAGAGGATTGGTTTACTTCTGCTGTTTGCTAAGTGCCTTTAGGGGATCTTTCCATATAACCCAGTGAAAAGGAAAAGCAGCACACATTCAGTCCTTGCTCAACCCCAAATATTTCGAATATTAAGGGAGAAAGGGAAAGTAACTGATGCTTTTAAACTGTCAGTCATGACTGAAATATTAGGAAGTATTATCCCTGTACATTGCTTCTATTATAGTTTATTGTTTTCATGCCATTTTTATTTCAAGGTCAGTAAAGTCAATGAAGGAAGACCTATTTTATAAGGAACTACATTGGCAATCTACTGAAGGTTGTGTTGTATTCACATATTTTCCAAGATATTGTAGTAAATATTGCATAGTTGTTTAATGGACATAAACACGTATTTACACTGGGCACTCAAGTAACTATCAAAATATAAGCCCTTCATCTACAGACGCCAGCGGATGAGTAGATTACAGTCTGCTGAGATCCTAGGAAAAGTGAATCTCCAGGTTGAGATGGAAGCTGAAGACTCTTACAATTATGAACTTTCTGCTCCTGTACCTTTCGGGATATTGTAGTTCTCAGAGGAATGGAAAAGGCAGTATTTGTTTCCTCATAATTGTTGAAAATTAGGCCAGATAATATTTGAATTGTAAAAGACTACAGGAAAGTGGATAATTAGTGTTTGAATTCATTGACATTCTTTGTGGCGTGATACTGAAATCTAGCATATGCTGTTTGTGTTTGGAATATTTTCTGATATATGGGGCAAGAAATTAGAATTCTAAAAAGAAATGCATTTACTTGCCTCCAGCAAGGTAAATGGAGGTCTTCTTCCCATATGATCCATGCCTTGCCCAGCATTTTTTTTTTTTTAACGTACTCCACTAATGTAGCAACTTAAAACTCTGCACATCTGCCCTATCCTTAAAAGAATATCAGGGCATCTATGTTACTCCTGAAACCTTACTGCTTTACCGGATTAGAAGTATAGTCACAACAGGGTGAAAGACTAAATGGACCCAGAGCCCAGTGATGCGCTGGAGCATACCAGCTTTGTGAATTGGTGTGTCTTTGTTACAGCTTGCACACCATGAGAGGGCTTACCCGGCCACCACTGCATCTAGATTTTGTTTCCTCTGTCCTGATGTGAAAACTAGAAGCCAAAACTGGAAATTAGGTGATTGAGATTACTTAGGAAAAAAAGAGAATTTTTGAAAACAAAAGTGGGTAATGGAGGGCTAGAATGTTTCTGACGTTTTGTTTTTTATGTAGTGGCTTACCATTTCATGTAAATTTGGGCTCCAGGTACCAAATATCAGGCTTTATCAACTGAACTTGGAAAGACAGATTTGTATTCTGCTGATTCTGATCATTTTTCGGAATAGGAAAAGCTTCGCTTCTGTGTTTCTCATCAGTAAGATGGGAAAAACTGTAAGAGCAGCCTAGTGTCTAGAGGACTGTTAATTCTTCATGTCAGCATTCACAGACTGATCAATGAATCACGTACACTGATTAAGAACCTGCTTTGTGCACGACACTGGAAAAATACAGAAAAAACAGATGAATAAAACATTTCC